TGGGGTCCCTCATAAGGGTGCCGCACTATATAGAAAACTACCCATACTGTGCTGACGACGACAGCACCGTCCTTCCTTTGTTGATGGAGGTTCTTCGCTGCCTGGGCATCGAGGAAGCACGTGAATGTCCAGAGGTCATCGCTGCAACCTCAGATTACCGTGGACCTTGTTATCGAGTAGAAGACCAGGGTGTTTTCCAGAAGCCTTCGTGACCGATGACCGTGTATGATCACGGACCTGCTTGCTTGCAAAAGCATGGGGCACCTGCAGCCCACAGGGAGTGGGATCTGGACCAGTTCGGCATATCAGCCACTTCGACAGACGCGCTGTTGCTATTTACGTCAGGGCCAGGCTCTGGGACAACCGACTCATGAAATCGCTGTGTAGTAAGAGGTCAGACCAAAGCTATGAGCCATCCGCGAGCAACCCGAAGACAATCACATGGTGCTGCTGATCATATTACCACATATCAAGCAACATGTCGGGCTTATACAGTGCCATCACACAGATGGTTACTAACTTATTCTTGGCCAAGCTCTCTTTCTTCGCGAGTTGAGTGGCTGTTGCTGCAGATGTCCGTTGCTGGCAATCCGCTGATCTACAAGTATAAGTAGGCTGCTAAGACATAACGGGAATGCTGTGTATGGCTGTCTCTAGATCGTGCTTGATTCTTGGAGCTGGTTCGGAGAAGGACTTGTAAACGGATGGTTCCAAGTCAACAGCCCTGACATGAAACGAACGCGCAGACTTTCGAATGAACGCCAGAGGTTAGCGCCATCAGATCTGGCTGCGGACTAAGAATTGCGGTATGTACATGCATGCACTTAGCGGCGACCACATGTTGCCCAAACCGGCAATACATCTTGTTGCGTAGCCAGTGTTTCTGGCATATGACTGCAAAAATGAAGTATTACATGGAGAGATGGCTTTGGGGGGTATTGTGGGCTTTGGGCTTTAGGGAATCGGCCGTTGAGCTAAGGTACAACAGGATGGCAGAGGTTTTTGCTTATGGTTGATGCCCCCGGTCAAGTGGCAATCAGTGACATGGTGCCATTGTAGCTGACACGAGGTCGCCGTAGTAGTGGTGGTAGGAAGTGGATTAGCAGCAATGTAGTCGCAGTCGTTTAGATGCAGTCTCCTCGCACAATCTTGCGTAGGATGTTACAGAAGGCGACCTGTCGACTCTTCATCGGCTCATGCATCTTCATTGGGACAGTATCCTTTGACATTGGAACCGCTAGCGGCACTAGCGCGCAGCTGCCACACAAGCGAAGCCGACACCCCAAGCCCTTCCACGATCTACAGCGCTTAACATCTTGAGATGCCCACTGAGAATGTTGATTCTCTCATGTTTCGGGTTGGCCAAGCTATTCTGGTCTCTAGTTTTCCTTTTCTAGTGTTTTTAAGGCTATGTATTCCGACTGAACCTTTATCAAGGCGCCTGCGATAGCACAGATAGCCCCTCAGCATTAGATAGTCATTAGATACCCCCAGACATGGCATTTGCTTTAGCAACTCTTTGTTGCTACTACGACCAGTCGCCATGGCCCGACCATGGTCCCGTGTGCGGCTCCTCGCGTGGGTGCTGGGAGCACTGGGCCTGGGCTTGCTGCATGGGCAAGGCAGGTTCGGTCGTGTGCTGGTCAGCAGTCAACATCGTAACATCGTCCTCTCACTTCCTTAAAGCGGTAATGTTTTGCCTTGGCGACCGCTCACGCTGCTTGTAGCGCAAGAAATGCCATGCATCTGAATCTGTCTGCCTAGTGGTTTACTGACCCACGCGTCCATTTGTTTTGCAAGGAAAGTTTTTGCATTGTGACGATGACGATGATGCCGCCGACGCGATGGCTTCGATGCGATTGCAGTGACGACAATGTTGCAATTCCGATGGTGATTACGACCAGCAGAGGATAATGAGCCTACTCGTTAATGATGATAATGCTAGTGGTGATGATAATTTATATTAATGCTCAGGATGTTGTGACGACTATGGCTTAGATTTTTCACTCATGACCCAATGCGATCTTGATAATGGTCCTGGAGGTTTAGAGATGGTGATGGCTGAAGATGGCAAGCATGAGCTGTTGTGAGGCTGTTTGGGGTCCATCTCAGGGAAGAGCTCCCAATGTATCAAGGCATAGCCAAGCCGTCGTAGGTTGCTCTGTCTGGCGTGCCATTGCCAAATATAGTTGCTGGGTGTCAAAGGAGGCTGAAGCTCAAGGATCCTGAAGCATCACTGTTCAGAGAGCCGGAAGTTGGTACGGCACTGTTGCGGCAAATGTCAGAAGCAGAAGCAGAAGCTCGGATTCTCCAAGATGCGGAGGCTTTGCCGGTGTTGGAGGTCGAAGGCCTCAGGCCAAGACCGTGCACCGGGCGGTGAGCTTCCACCGCACCGCGTCGAAAACTCCAGGGAGGGCATCGTGATCTGGAGCCCTGAAGGTTTCCCCTTCTCCAGCTCAAGGCATAAGATGTTCAGATCTCGAGTTGGAGGGAGGTATCTGCGACATCGTGCTTTGTACTTGTCGGCTCGCCAGTCGTCTTGTACGACCCAGCCCCTCCAAACATAGCAGCATTGTCTCACACCCGCGACTCATGCTAAGGTGCCGGTCTACTGCCAGGAGCGGCTCCTTTAAGCCGGCTTAGTTCTTAGGTCTCGTGCTGCGGCTACATGTTCGGAATTCTGAGGAGGCTTTTCTCTTCATATCGTGCTTTCCCTTCCTTTGCTGATTTTGCATGCACATGCTGTACCTGGCATATGCAACGGTCTGTCAGTCGATGAGGGAGGGCCATGAGGCGTCAACGCACGCGTAGTGGCGTAGTGAGTGGAACTTATCCTTTGTTCCTTACTAGAGCGCATGCCCGCCAGGACAAATAGAGATAAATAAAGGAATCCACGACTGCTTACAGACATGATGTACCTTCGCGTCTGTCTCCCCTCAAAAGAAGGCTCGTGGCACATGGAACCCGTCCCGTTTGAGGTAGTACTTGGGTGTAGCTGGTCACGCATACATACCAACTGGAGTCATTCGGGTTCGTGATGGTCAGAATCCTTACCGTAGGAAGTGCCCTAAACCCTAAACCCTAAACCCTAAACCCTAAACCCCAAACCCCAACTCGGACAAGCCAGGCGAGGAGTGAGAGTGTAAGCCCTGAACCCGAAAGAGTTTGGAGTTGTGGGACAGATCGCGACTGGGAGGAGAAAGCCAAGAGCCGTCTCAGCCAAGCTCAAAGCCGCTGCTGGTCTTTCTGCCAGGCGCTACCGTGCTCTCAAGATGTTCGAAGAAGTTAATAATTGCCTATACTATTTTGGTGGTTCCTTAAATTATAATTATAGTATATAGTATAATGGACCCCAAAACCCTATTCTTAGTTAGGATATCTGCATGTCGATGCCAAGGGCTGCCAGGTAGTAACGTTCTCCCAGAGGGGACGAAGCGGTCAAGCTTCTTCACTCTACGTGACAGTGACCCAGAAGCACGACGCGCCCGCGCCACTATTTCTTTGTCCTGCTATGGCTATGGAGCATTCAAGACTGGTGATGATGCGAGTTCAGCTACAGGTATCGACGGTGCCAGCCGGAGGACGTCTGACCAGTTCCGCCGACTGGAGCCCTCTGATCCTTTTGAGTTAGTTAGCCGTTTGAGGTGTAGGGCTTGGCGTAGGCTGGCGACAAAGAGGACTTATAGTTCTGTGATTTTACTCGGGGCATCGGGTATTGAGGGTGGGAAGTTTGGGGTCCAGGCGTGCGCCCAACATGCGAGAACAAGGATGAACTTAGTGACATATTACAGATGCGCAACGTTAGGGGCGCAATCATTGAGCCGTGTCCGGCTGGCATAATTAGAAACATTTGACACTATAAGGGTCTCGAGATGTGCACTTGCCTTCAACTCGTCTATTGAACTGCGGTCGCAATTGAAACCTGTTCCTTGTGGCAAAGCAACTAGTGATGTTAAGCTGCCTAAGGAGTGGGTCACATGTGTGATCACCGCTGATGTCGCAGGAGCCCTTAAGGCAGCGTCGCCACAGCACCCGAAACCAAAGACGTGATGAACCCATAACACTTGTATACATCACTCGCAACCTACAATGAAGCCAAGGCCCTTCTTCGACTGCTGGGCTCTTCAACTGCCTCCCGACGATCGAAGCTTCTGGACGGAACGGAGTAGGAGTAGGAGTAGGAAGGAGTATAGCAGTAGTGGCAGTAGTAAAGAAGTAGCAGTAGCAATTGGCAGCAGGAGTAGCGGTAGCGGGAGCATAGTAGGAGTAAGAGTTGGCAGGCTCCTGGGGAAGTACTTTAGCTCGGCTCCTGAATGCCGCCAGTAGATGGGAGAAAGGTTGCCTGTGAATCCTGCCAGTACATGTCCTGGTGGTCTTTCTGTTTCCCATTGGTCTCCTGCAGTCTCCTGGTTCTTGCTGGCACTTGCTGGTCTCCTATATAGCACCTGGCGAAGCACAAGCACAAGCAATGATCAACTCAATGCCAGCTATGTTTCCTGCATCAACCCTAGCAAGGGTAGTCGTTGCATAGCCGAAGTTTTGTGTTCTTTTTGGCTTGGGGTATCTTGATCCGATGCATGCATGAGCAGCCCACCGGAAGGATTGTGCTGGCTGTGCAGGTGACCTGGATTCCCTCGTTGAGTCGGTCGAGAGCTTCATCGAGAAGCGGCGAGCAGAAAGGCGTAGTGTGTATAGGTTGTATGGTAGTCTAAGTTCCTAAGCCCGCGCTTTCGGGTTCAGTATGTAGGGTTTATATTGCTGGCGATCGCATCAGACGCAGTGGAACCTGCTGCATGAAACTCCCCCCCCAGAGTTGCTCGCCTGCCGTTGACTAGGCCCCAGGCAACATCGGCGGGCTCATGGCTCACACACTTGCAGCCATTCGTGCTCAACATTTGTCGTGCAGCAGCGGAGCTGCTGCCACTCCCGACAACTTTCGAAGGCAGGTCTTGGATGTCGGTTGCTGAGATCGGAATCTGTGCATTGCATGTCGGGCAGGCATGGCCACCGCAGCCTGGGACGGAGATGATTTCGAGATGCTGGCGCCCATCGACACGAAGCCCTGTCAGGCCTGGGAGAGACATTGCCTCTTATTGCAAATCGATGCCTCCCAGCGGGCCCAGGCCGGTGCGCTCCAGAACTGGCTGAATGCCCGTCGCCGCGCGACGCTCGAGCTGAGCGCAGGGACAGTTCTGACCGGCCCCTCGGTTCAATGTTATAGGGGAAGAAGGCTGCGACTGCAAGTCCTCTCAGTCCTGTGTCTCGGAAGCGTTTCTCTTGAGTCTTGAGGCTTCTCCTTCGGAGCTCCGGTGTCGGTCTCTGGCGAGGTGGTCTTCAACACGGGCATGGTGGCTTACCCGGAGTCCCTCACGGACCCGTCCTATGCAGGTCAGATCCTGGTCTTCACCTACCCGCTCGTGGGAAACTATGGGATCCCTTCCGAAGACCCGGATGACTTGGGCTTGTCGAAGTGGTTCGAAAGCGACCGAATCCACGTAAAGGCCGTGGTGATCTCGGACTACTCTTACGAGCCCTCTCACTACTCCTGCGTGCGCACGCTGGGGGACTGGCTGAACAGCCAGGGTGTGCCGGGCATCTACGGCGTGGACACGCGCATGATCACCAAGATCATCCGCCAGGAGGGGGCCATGCTTGGCCGCCTATTGGTGAACGGCAGCGACGGTTGCCATCCGGCCATTCCTTTCGAGGACCCCAACACGAGAAACCTGGTGGCGGAGGTCTCCCGCTCTCAGAAGCAGACTTTCGCACAAGCAGCGCAGGGCCAGAAGGAGGTGCACATCATTGCCGTGGACTGCGGCATGAAGAACAACATTATTCGCTGCCTGGTGGCTCTTGGGGTTCGACTCACCGTGGTTCCTTGGGACTACGACTTCAGCCAGGACCACTTCGATGGCCTCTTTCTCAGCAACGGCCCCGGGGATCCGAGCCAGTGCGCCCAGACGATCCGCCATGTGAGAACGGTGATGCAGCAGCGCCCCAACACACCCGTGCCCAGGCTGCAGTGATGTGGGCCTGCAGGCCGCTCTTTAACGCGCTCTAGGCGAGTCTAGAAGTGAAGCCTGCAAATGAACCTCTCTCTCTCTCTGTCTCTATTGCTCCGTGAAGTTCTGAAAGATGAAGCCGAGCCAAGATCTTCGGCATTTGCCTGGGCAACCAGATCTTGGCCCTGGCGGCTGGGGCGAAGACTTTCAAGATGAAGTTCGGGAACCGTGGGATGAACCAGCCCGTCGTGGACCTCCGAACGCAGCGCTGCTACATCACCGCTCAGAATCACGGCTTCGCCGTCGACGCCCAGTCCCTTCCCAGCGGCTGGGTGCCTCTCATGGTGAACGCGAACGACGGCACCAACGAAGGCATCATCCACAGCTCCAGGCCCTGGTTCTCCGTCCAGTTCCACCCCGAGGCCTGCAATAGTCTCCCTATAATATGGCTTAGGCATATTTCATTGCGTTGCCTTTTGGGGAGTCGGCCTCTTCTTGCCGCTTGTTGTCCTGCCGCAGGCCTGCGGCGGGCCCATGGACACAGACTTCCTCTTCAAGCAGTTCTTGCAGTTCATCGCCGAGCCCGCCTCCACGGCCGTGACGACCATCCCTTACTCCCTGCCGCTAAGCTATCGCAAGGTTCTGGTGCTGGGCTCCGGCGGTCTGACGATCGGCCAGGCAGGAGAGTTCGATTACTCGGGCAGCCAGGCGCTTAAGGCCCTGAAGGAGGCCGGCATCATGTCCGTGCTGATTAACCCGAACATCGCCACCGTTCAGACCTCTGCCGGCATGGCTGACCGCGTTTACTTCTTGCCTGTGACCCCGGAGTTCGTGACCAAGGTTATCGACCGCGAGCGCCCGGACGGCATTTTCGTGTCCTTCGGCGGCCAGACGGCCCTGAACTGCGCGTGCAGGCTCCACGAGCAGGGGGTCTTTGATCGCTTCAACGTGCAGGTGCTGGGCACTCCCATCGAGGCCATAGGTAGTATTATTAGGGGTACCCCTTATGGCTCTCTTAAAAGGGACCTTATTGAGAGGGTCTATATCCCCAAGGGTCCCCCTAATCCTAACTCCCAGGCCATCATCAAGACGGAGGACCGCGACCTCTTCAGCCAGGCAGGGAGCCGACTCAGCCGACCTTTGCATAAGGGAGGGAGGGAGAGCAATGCATCACTGGCTTCAGCGCGGTTTGTGTATGGAATTTGTGTAATTGCTCCCAAGAAGGTTCTGTTGACTACTTTAGATTCTAGACGGCACCAGCGTCCGCCATTCTGGTAAAGCAGGCGCTTCTCTTATAGTTCAACTCGAAGAGGTGGTGGACGCATGCGGCGAGCGGATCGCCGAGAGCAGCTGCTGCGGCTCGGTGGCGGAAGCCGTCCATGCCGCAGAGCAGATTGGTTGCCCGACGCCTTTGGAAAGTCTTTTCTAGCAGACTGGGGCCCCAGCATACCCCCACCATGATTCTGTAGCGCTCGGCCAGGCTACCCAGTGCTGGTGCGGGCCGCCTTCGCCCTTGGCGGCCTGGGCAGCGGCTTCGCCGACAACGAGAACGAGCTGAGGAAGCTGGTGACGGTGGCTTTGGTCAACAGCCCCCAGGTGATCGTCGACAAGTCCTTGAAGGGCTGGAAGGAGCTGGAGTATGAGGTGGTGCGAGACAAGAACGACAACTGCATCACGGTGTGCAACATGGAGAACTTGGACCCCATGGGCATCCATACAGGCGAGTCCATTGTCATCGCACCCTCACAGACGCTGAACAACGAGGAGTACTACCGGCTCCGGCAGTGTGCCTTGAAGATCATCCGGCACTTGGGCATCGTGGGCGAATGCAACATCCAGTATGCGGTGGATCCCAAGAGCTCTCAGTTCCGCATCATCGAGGTGAACGCCAGGCTCTCGCGCAGCAGTGCCCTTGCCTCCAAGGCCACGGGGTATCCTCTGGCCTACGTGGCTGCCAAGCTGGCGCTGGGCCACGACTTGGCGCAGCTTCGCAACAGCGTGACGCGATGCACCACTGCCTGCTTCGAGCCATCTTTGGACTACGTGGTAGCCAAGGTGCCCCGCTGGGACCTCCAGAAATTCTCCACGGTGGACGCCCGCATAGGCTCTGCCATGCAGAGCGTGGGCGAGGTCATGGCCATCGGCCGAACCTTCGAGGAGACCATCCAGAAGGCCTTGCGCATGGTCGACGAGGCAAGCCCAGGCTTCGACCCTGCGCGCTATGAGATTGAGCTGGAGAGGCGAGGGATCAGTGCATCGGGGCCGGAGTTGGAGAAGGAGGTGAAGAAGGAGCTCAGCAACCCAACCCCTGTAAGGCTTTGGGCTGTTGCGAAGGCTTTCGAGCTTGGCATGGACGTGACGGATGTCCATCGCCTCACCAACATCGACCGCTGGTTCCTGGCCAAGCTGCATGGCCTGCACCAGCTCAAGGTGGCCCTGCGTCTCATGGACTTCTACGAGCTCCGAAGCCATCCCGCGGTCCTGCGCGAGGTGCAGGGGGAGGGTATTTTGAGATCATGTGAATTTGAATGTGCGAGCGCGTTGCTCCGTCGTGTTGTGTTGGCTGAAAATTCGTGCGTTTCAGGCGAAGTGCCGCGGCTTCTCGGATTGCCAGATTGCAGCGCTGGTCTCGGCTCCAGCGCTGGTGCACATGGAGATGTCCCCACGGCTGCTGCCGACGGACTTCGGGGCAAGCCGCTACACCGGCGGTCCTGTGACAGAGGCGCACATCCGGCACTTGCGCAGGAGTGCGAGCATTGTTCCCAAAGTAAAGCAAATCGACACGCTGGCGGCTGAGTTCCCGGCAGAGACGAACTACCTCTACCTGACCTACAGCGGCGAGGAACACGATGTGGAGCTGCCCGGCAGCCAGGCTCCCACCGACGATGACTGCTTGCCCCCGCTTTCACTGCAGCCGTCCATACCGGAGCCAATGTCACTGCAGACCCCACAGAGCCAGAAGGCAGAGAAGGAGTCCAGGGTGGTGGTGTTGGGCTGCGGGCCTTACAGGATCGGTAGCAGTGTGGAGTTCGACTGGTGCAGCGTTTCCTGCGTGCGCACGCTGCGGAAGTTGGGTCACAAGGCTGTGGTGGTGAACTGCAACCCTGAGACAGTGTCGACGGATTTCGACGAGTCCGACCGGCTGTACTTCGAAGAGCTAAGCCACGAGCGCGTGCTGGACATCGCAGAGTTGGAGACGCCGCGGGGCATGGCGGCTGGGCACCTTCTAACTTCAACCCAAAGGGTATAAACAGATTGGCAATTGGCAGAGGGCGTAGTCGACGGGACCGCATGTGCATTAGATTTTTTACACATGCATATGATTCTCGCTGGAGGATATGCCGTGCAGTTCAGCTGTTGATTACGTTAGTTCGGCCTCCTGGTTGTGCCCAGGTGGTGTCTGTGGGCGGGCAGACGCCAAACAACTTGGCCCTCGGCTTGCACCACTGCGGCGTGCGCATTCTGGGCACCTCCGTGGAGGCCATCGACACGTGCGAGGACCGCAAGAAGTTCAGCCAGCTCTGTGATCAGCTTCGCATCGACCAGCCACAGTGGTCCCAGTTCGAGACTTTGGGGGAAGCTCGCAACTTCTACCGATCCGCGGGCTTCCCGGTGCTGGTCCGGCCCTCCTACGTGCTCAGTGGCGCGGCCATGCGCGTGGTCACCAACGACTCCGAGCTCGAAGTCTTCCTGAAGACGGCCGCCGTGGTCTCCCGAGACCACCCCGTAGTGATTTCCAAGTACATCACCGGTGCAAAGGAGGTGGAGCTGGATGCCGTGGGCAGGGCCGGCGAGCCGCTCGGCGGCTTAAAGATCTCAAAACTTTAAACTTTGGGAGGAGCTCAGCTGTCGATCTCTGTCAATACATCTCGAAACCCATCCAGCCAAGCACGGTATCGTTTAATGTGGTAGCCAGCAATCTGCAAGTGAGGCTCGTGAACTATGCGATCGCGGAGCACATCGAGAACGCCGGCGTGCATAGTGGGGATGCCTCCCTCCTGCTGCCGGCGCAGCGGCTTTTCGTGGAGACGCACCGCAAGGTGAAGAGCGGCTCGGCTGCAGACTGCACCCTGTGCTGATAGTGTGACATGTGCTGACAGATTGTCTGATTGCACGCGGCCTGGAGGTATCTCGCAAAAGCTGTGCAAGGCTCTGAAGATTTCGGGGCCCTTCAACATCCAGTTCATCTGCAAGGACAACGAGGTCAAGGTCATTGCGCCTTCGCCGCCATGAGAGCACCGGTCGGCGGGAGAGCATGCAGCATTCGTTCTTGACCGAGGAGTGCAATTTGAGGGCCTCGCGGTCCATGCCTTTCATCTCCAAGACCTACAACGTGAACTTCATCGAGCTCGCGACTCGCAGCTCCCTGAGAAATTTCGCTTCGGTCGGCCGAAGTGAGCAGATTTGCGGCCCTTAGGCGTTATGGTGGGCATGCCAGTGCGCTCAGCGGTCATCCAGCCGATGGACATCGACTTCGTGGCCTGCAAAGCGCCCATGCTCCGCGGCTGGCCAGAGGTTCTGGGTGGTTTAGGGTTTAGATGTAAAAGGGGTCCCGTAACCGGTCTTATGATTGTCTTTCGAGTCACGTCAGGTTTTCCTTCGGGCGCTTGAAGAACTCCGATCCTCGGCTGGGCGTGGAGATGTCCTCCACAGGTGAGGTAGCCTGCTGCTTGGACTGCCTTTTTTTCGTTGGATCTCGTGTTTTTTTTTACGACTGCGCTAAGCAGCCGCTAGCACGTTACTCGCTTCAGCGACTTCTCGGAAGCTTGTTTTGGCACGCGTGCGTCGAGGCTTCGGCATGAACGCCTACGAGGCGTTCCTGAAGAGCATGGTAGCCGCGAATTTCAAGCTTCCCTCGCAGCCGCTTGCTGGCAGAGAAGATCAGAGAAGCCCTCTTGCCCTCTTGCCTTGCCTTCCCAGGAGCATCCTCTTGTCGCTGGGTTCCCCGGCAGCGAAGAGCGAGTTCGTGAGCTCCGGGGCGGCCCGGCAGCTCCTTGAGATGGGCCGCTCGGTGAAATTGCAGGCCTCAGCCACAAGACCCTAAACCTAAACCCTAAACCCTACCTAACCCTAAGCCCTAAACCCTAAACCATAAACCCTAAACCCTAAACCCTAAACCCTAAACCCTATAACCCTAAACCCTAAACCCTAAACAGTGCAGATTCGCCGTGGCTGAGGCTACTCCCTTTACGCAACCAAGGGCACGCATGAGCACCTCGTAGGCAGGGGCTTTAACGATGCTTGCGCGGGTCGCAGCGGCGCATTCTTGTTGCAGGCGCCGGGCTGCAGAGCAGCATGGTCTTCAAGCCTCTGGTGAAGAGGGAGCCGAACGCCGCCACGCTCCTGCAGGGACGCAAAGTCGACCTGGCAGCTCGGCATGGCAATTTTCGGTTGCAGCCGGCTTCGAGTTGCGCTCTCTCTCTCTCTCTCTCGCTCGCTCCCTCCTGTCTCTGCTTCTCCCGTTTCGGGATCGCAACAACTTTTTCCCCTCTCCGCTTGAAAGGCTGTTCAAACTTCCTTCTTGCTCTTCCTCTTGTCCTTCTCTCCCTCTCTCTCTCTCTCTGCCTCTTTTCATCTTGCCTCGAAGATCCTCCGTTCTATCCTGAGGTGATCAACGTGCCCGACTCTATGGACTCGGATGCTCTCACTGACGGCTTCAGGATCCGCCGGGGTGCCGTGGACTCAGGCACGTCGCTGATCACGGACATCAAGACCGCCATCTTCATGTGCCACGCCCTGCACCGGCCCGGAACTTAGCGGGAACGGTGGCGCACCACTCTTCTGGCAACGTGTGCTGTGGTGACTGCGGTCCCTCACCCAGGAAGTGGACGAGGGAGGCGAGCGGCAAGCCCTTCTGGGACATCTGCTCTTGGCAGGAGTATGTTGACATCGTCGAGAGGCTCAACTAAGCCAGTGAAATGCCTGCAAGCAAAAAGTTTTTGGGAGGAATTTTGGAGCGAGCAGTCCATCTGGCCTTGCTCTGCCTGTGTACAGCATCCGTCCTGAAGCGGGGCGTCGGCGTGATGGCACCCACCACAAGAAAAAAGGATGCTCTTTTTGGACTCCGCCGACTCCGAAGCTCAGGAAGCGGACCTCTTGTCTTCCAAATGACGACGGCTGGCCCTTTGCCAGCCGATGTGGCCTCCCAGCAAGCGATAGTCCTCTTTAACACCGAAGCAGGTTCCACTCTGCGCCTTTCTCTGAGAAGCCACCGATGCAATTTTGTGCCGCTGGGCTAAGTCCCCAGCCGCGGGTGGCAGCATGGAGTGCTGCCTATAACGTTGTTCCGCACCCAGCCTTTGAAGCCTTGTCCGTGGACAAGCAGGGCTTTCGCAGTGGTTTCGACCAATTCTTTGCACTCCCCGCTTCGTGGAAGCGCAGCCGATTCAGGCTAGACCCATCGACTCAAGTGGGCAAACGGGCCATGCCTGCAGCCCCCAATTTATCGCGACAGAAAAAGACGCACATGAATCTGGTGTAGGGCCGGGCTGCGCAATGGATCCCCGGCATGCCTTCGGCACATACTGGATGCGGTCGGTACGTACTTCTCAATATCCGGCCACCATGCCGACAATCCAATATTTGTGCATCCAGGCAGCTGTCGTTCGCCTTATGAATACATGCATGCAGAATATGCTGCACCGAAACACGCAAACCACCAACCCACTCAGCTGTGAGGGACACCTCATGGGATGCCAGAAAGTTTTGCTTTTCAGACGGGAGCCCTTATCTCTTCGACCGGTTGCCTGGATGCATTTGCAACCTGGATGGACCAGATGCCTACCAGCTAACGTCCGAGCTCATATAGATGTAAACTAGACTTTGTGACCTCGCCCACACCGCTGCTCTCGTTGCATCTCTCGGTTTTCGACGACTTGAGAAGGCCAATCCTGTAACTCCTACATGTCCTTGGTTTTGAGGCGTAGGAAAGACTGCCACCCATCCGATCAACCGCGAACCATGCTAAAGCACCCAGTGTTGGGTGAACAACAATGATGCAGATTCTTCCCCTGGCGTTTTGCAGGACCCTGCCAGCTCGTCAACTGAATCACGGACTTCCTCATCGTTCTTATTGTTGTTATTCCGGTTATTGTTATTGTTTTTTTTTTTTATTCTTGTCATTGCTACTACTATGATTATTCTTCTTCTTATTGCTCTTCGAAGAATAAGGCCGAAGCCCTAAACCCTAAACCCGAAACCCGAAACCCTAAAACTCCATGAGCCAGGCCAGTTCTTCTAGTTGCCGAATCTCTGGGCGCAGTGATCGCTCTGAGCCTCGCCTTGAAGCGGCCGAGCCTGCCCCAAGCTACTCGGCTTCCTTAATGGGTTCTAAAAGGGCTATTATAGGGGTTTAGGGTTTAGGGGCCTAGAGTTTTATGGGTTCGGCCTTTCAGGGTTCAGGATTCAGGGTCTTAAGCTTGAGGGTTTTTGAGGATTGGCTTTGGGGCTTCGGGTTTTAGGGGAGCGCTGCTCTTACTACGAGGTGCTGCCCATGCTCGTTGCAAGCACTGCCTGTTTCTGCTCCGGTCGGGTTTTCGGCCTTGGAATCCCTGTGATGGATGTCTTGGCTGTGTGTAGAGTATGTTTAACCGGGTAGAGACACGTACATGTGTCTGATAGTACTGGATGGATGGAGAGGTTCGAGAGACATGATGATCGGTAGGTAGGTAGATGGACAGGGGGATAGATCCCTTTGCTGACGAAACCTGCTTTGCACCCTTGCCGGTCCTCTTTGTGTCGACCGTGAGCTGACGATGACCCGAGCAAGCTGCAGGCTTTGTGTCTGCTGAATCCAGCTACGAGCTACCGAAGCCCCTTGACTGAAGCAGCTAGTCCCGTTCACATCTTCGAAAAAGTTTGTACAGCACATCATCATACTGGGTGTGATACGTCTGCTCAGCACCACAGCACTGTCCAGAGCTGGTAGCACTTGCCATGCCTTGTCGAGCTCTCGAAGCGTGCGGCCAGCGGACATGCCCAGTTTTGTTTGTAAAGGACGACATGTCGGTGTATAGGCTGGAGGTTCGACGGCTGCACACCATCTCCCACGACTTCTTTTGGTGCTGGCTGTGTTGAAAGCTAGCTTCAGACGTAAACTCGTTCCAGGCTTGTAAACCCGTCACAGCAAGATCTTCAGTTTTGAACCCTCAGCTCCCAGACCCCGAAAGGCGATCTTCGAGGTGAGCCCGCTGCAGAAAGCAAGAACAACATCACAAGAGGTCGACCGCGGACCTGCACGGGCACCCAGGGGCAGCACAGTTGCGATTCGGCAAGGAAGAGCCGAAAAGCAGCCAGTGGTCGACCTGAAAAGCTTTGAACCCTTAGGGCTCAGGGCCAGTGGTCTATGGTGGAAGAACTCCAAATATTTCGAGGCCTGTGCCCACAGGCCTGAACAGCGAGAAACAGAGAGTGTCTGTGTGCATACGCAAACACACACATGCATACATATATATATATATACACACATACACATTTGTCTATTTGTTTATCTATCTATCTATCTATCTATTTACCTGTCTGTCTGTCTGTCTGTC